CTTCAGTAAAGTCCTGCACATGCGTTTGGATTGTGAAAATGTTGAGGTTCTTCACTGACGCTCCGTTGTTATTGTGTTGTTTTTTGTGTTGTTTTTTGTCTTGGAAGGCACCGTACTGTACATTAGTCTGTGTGGGTGTGTTTACGTGGGCCGCACGCCGCCACATGCATACATGGAGAAGTCAATCCAGTCCGCAAAGTCGATTCCATCCACTGGTGTCAGCCCACAAGGCATCACCATGACAACTAAGGCAAAAAAAAAAAAATCTCCTGACATAAAAACAAAGCATCCTTTTTTTCTTTCTTTTTTTTAGTTCATCTGATTTGCTTCTCTTGCTTAAACCAACTTCCTCACAATAAGCATTAGTAATGATAATAATCTCTATTCAATAAATTATCTTTGCTGTACAAATAATCCGTTTGCACAGACCTGCAACAAAAGAGGAGCAGTTTTTCAAAATAAAGCTATCGACAGTGAGTTTCTGCTGCAGATCAGAGGTGGACAAACAGCAGCTTGTTCTTTTTTTTCTTTGCTGTACAGAAATTAAACTAAACATCGCAAAAAAATAAAAAATAAAAAAAATATAGAAGCTGATGCATAATAAAAAATTTGGAGATTTCAGATCAAAAGAAACAGTAAAAAAAAGTTTGTTTCCAGCAAAGGCAAGAAGAACAGTTTGTTTTTTCCCCTCCGTGTTCTTTTCCTGCAGTGAGAGTCATTTTGTCGGAGGACAGCAGATAGAAGAGGATTCCTGACTGGASAAGGAACCGGGCCTCACTGGACTCCCTCTTCATCCACGTAGGTTGAGGGGAACCATCCGATCTGCAACAGGAAACAACCATCAGAGACAAAAGGAGGCTAATTAACGTTATTCGTGTGTCTCTTTCTGCACGCGGCGCTCACGCAGAGGAGAACCGACGCCGACGTGAACAATCAACATCAAGCCCGGCGCTAACTCCAGATGTACATGACTTTAAATTAAAAGCTTCGCAGCTGTTTCTAGGCAACAATTTCTATAACATTTGAGAACGGTACAGAAACGGCAGCGACAGTAAAAAAAAAAAAAAGGATATATTTTCACACCTGGTTGGATCTGTCCACCTGATTAGGAGCCTGAATGTTCCTACGTTTGATGCGGGTGGACTACTTACACATCAATAAAGCAGAAAGAGTTGAGCTCTGAGGAAACAGCTGCTCTGATGCTTTTCTTTGGTTTTCCTTCAGATAACAAGAGGTGACATACAGGATGTATTCATCCCTCAAGGTCAAAGCTTTCCACACTGCACTGAGTCTCTATACAGTTAGCACATCTAACAAACATGACTCTAATAGTTGGATTAGCTTAGATCCATGACTGAAAGTCAAACTACAGATGATGCAGAAATGTTTCATTTACGAATGATTTGAAAGAGAAGATCTGCCGTTCAGCCTGACAGGCTGGAGCCAGAGTCTGGCCCAGAGCCAGAGTCTGACCCAGAGCCAGAGTCTGGCCCAGAGCCAGAGTCTGACCCAGAGCCAGAGTCTGACCCAGAGCCAGAG